GCCCACCGTGAGCCTGTGATAGGTCATGGTGGTCTACTCTACAGCAGAGGTTCTTCAACTGTTTTTGGTATTTAAATCACCTGACGCGTCTGCTGAGACTGTAAATCCTGGCCCATCCCAAGGGAGTCAGATTCTGTAGCTCTAGAGGGTGCCCAGAAATCTGCATTTTCAGCAAGCACCTCAAATGCTTCTGAAACCCCTGGTTCCCACAGCCACTTAGGACTCTCTTGGGCCCCAAGCACTTTGGCCTTTGTGGGCCTGTTACTCTATTAAGTATTAAAACTTGTACTTTGCAACTTCATTGATATAAACATGAATGTAATTGAGGATGGATTAAGCTTGTTTTATAAAGAAACTAAACCATTTTTGTAGACCCTTAAAAGCTCAGGGGCCCTCGCCACTGTGCCTACTGTATAGGTCAGCCCTACTGTGACTTTAGGCATGGGATGAGCTTGTAGTCCTTAATCCCTCCAGCCTCTAGGGTAGTGGTTCTCAATGTGGGGCACATGCACCACAGGGGGGCAATTTGATGTTTGGGGGGGGGAATTCGAGAATGAGTTATTAACAGTGAATTTTTTGCATTTCTTATGGTTCTAGGGGCCTCAAACACAGTATATAAATATATATTGTGATATATTTATGTATTTCAGTGCCCTTTGTTTTGAAACTTTATCTGCTATTTTTTTATATCACTTCATATTATTATTTTTTAACAATTTCTTACGTGATTTCTTCCTCAGTACTTCAATTGTCCTTTCATTCTTTTGTTTTTCTCTTTCATGGATGCCATGTTCTTTGGAAGCTTATTTAGACCAAGTTAATGGCCTTTAAGGCTTCCTCCACGTGAATGTGAGTTCACTTTTTGAATAATAAGAATTATATGTCACAGGGAGTGGGGGGACATCAGGTTTAGAGATACTGAGTTGGGGCATGGCCAGAAAAGGTTGGGAACCACTGCTCTAGAGTAAGTGCTTTAATAATTGACTTCCACTCACTCAGGCAGCTCATCGGAGAAATAGAGGATGAAACGGGACCGAGGTACCCAGGTCAGTGACAGCCTCCCCCTTTCACTTTCTTCTATCTCAGGCTCCCCACTCGCAGAGAGCCAGGACCTCTTGCTGCATCATAATCTCTTTATTTGAAGTCAGGAAATTTATCTCCCATTACCTATTTATACTTCCAGTCTGTTCACACCAATGTATTTTTTTAAAGTATATTTTTTATTGATTTCAGAGAGCAAAGAGAGGGAGAGAGAGATAGAAACATCAATTGATCGGCTGCCTACCGCATGCCCCACACTGGGGATCGAGCCTGAAACTCGGACTGGGAATCAAATTGTGACATCCTGGTTCATATGTCAACGCTCAACCACTGAGCCACAACATTTGGGCCCAATGTCTTAACTGTTTCCAGCTCTGCATCTGAAAGACTATTACCTCTGAGTCAAATGCTTTGTCCCAGAACAACTTTCAAATGTTTCTGACCTACACTAAGAAATACATTTTATATTAGGCTCAGTACACACACAGATATAACTTTAAAGTTTTATGGAATATATTTACCCTGAAAAAAAAAAAACTTTTCCTGCCAAGTTTCACAGAATACTTACATTTACTATTGAATTCATTGAAATTACCTATTATGTCCCAATAAAAAAAATGTTGGTCTCACTCACTAGATTGATTTTATGACTCACTAATAGGTGACAGCCTGCAACTTGAAAAACAATGGTCAAAGGAGTAACAAACATAAAAAATAAAATTTTTTAAGACAAATAATGTGTATTTCTGCAATAGGGATATACCTATTAAGGTTCATGGACATCATAACCTTGGCTACAACATCCTCTGCCCCAGTGTATTTGATGGACTATTGCCAACAAGGCATCCTTTGAACAATAACCCGCCCAGATATTTAACGAACAGCTGCCATATTCTGGTCACTGATCTGGCTCTGCGAATATAGCAATAATCAAAGTCCAAACCCTCATGCAGTGAGATTCTGGTTGGGGAAGATAAACAGCAATCAAATAAATAGGTAAATATATAGTGATCAGATGGTGGTAAATGCTGCAGAAGGGTTTTTTCCAGATCCTCCTTTCCTGGTCATGTTCACACACCTCCCTCCGTTGCTCTCTCCTGGAAGGCAGATTGATTGATTGATTGATTGATTGATTGATTTATAATTTACAGATACTTTCAGTCTGAAGACTGAGAAGGATGGGGCCAGTAGTGAGCTCATCAAAGAGGTGACTTTATCTTTTGTTATGTATTTGTTTCAAAAGTAGTTACACAGAGATAAAGATGCTTTTCTAATTTCTAAATTCTTAGAAAGTAATGGTAATTATCTCCAAATCTTGCAAATGTAATGAGTGGGATCAATTTCACCAAACCAAGCTTTTAGTCAGTTTCAGGCATCAGTAGCAACCAGGCCCTTTTCTTCTTGGGGCTGATGTTCCTACATGTCCCAGTTCCTTCCATATTGGACCCCCACCTACTTTTCTCCTGATTGGTATCTTGCCCTGATGACAGGCATTAACAGCAAGAATTCTGCAGGTGTTAGAAGTGTGATCACTTCAGGCCAAGGCTAGAATCTACCCAGTGGATGCGGTACACCAGGGGTTGGCAATTTCTGTTTTCTGTAAGGGGATAGTGAAGATTTTCAGCTTTGTGGGCCATAATGCCTCTGTCACTACTCAACTCTGACGCTACAACCCTAACCATCATAGACAATATATGAACAAATCACATGGCTGTGTTCCAACAAAACTTTATTACAAAACAAGCAGCAGGCTGACCCCTGCTTAAGGCTGATGGAGAGATTATTTCCTGTTGAGAACACTTGGGGCTTACGTTTGAAATAGGCTGAGGAGATGGGAAGGGAGAGTAAAGAAAAGGGCTCAGAAAGAAGGCCTCACAAATAACAAAGAGACAGTTTGGGCAAAGAGCAATGTGCTTGCAAGAAGGTGGCAAGAGGTTGAAATTTAACTAGGTAAGAACAAATACATATACAAGCCTGTGCAAACTGCTTTTCATTGTTTCATCTTTTATTTAAAAATCACACTATTTTAAAAATGTTTAAAATATTTAAAAAGTCATTTTCTATTACAATCACAAACTTCTTCCTTGTATCAAAAGTTGTGCCACTATCTTGGTTACTTGTGGATTCACCAAGCAGTCCAGTAAGTCATCTGTAGAAATTAAAGTTTGGGAAGGGGCCATAGTACTATTTGAAGCAATGTGTTCCACAATTTCATTCTCACGTCCACTCATCATTTGTTGCTTCTTGGTACAGTGCAATTTGTCAAAGTGCTCTCCAGCTTTGCCAACAAAGTCTTTACCATCATTTTTAAACATGCCTCCTGTTTCTGAGGGTGGATCTTCTGAACTCGGTAGTACGGGAACCAGATCAGGGCCAAAGGGACATGCTGCCTGCTCTCCTACTGTTCCCAAGGTTAAGTTCTGGCTGCCTGTTTGTTCTACCTCCATGAGGTTGTGCACGTTGAATTCTTCCTTTTTCATGTGCTCTCCGTTTGTTCTGAGTGTTTGGATTTCTACTGTCTTAGATGTTCTGTAATGATCAAAAAAGGCAGTAACAGCTCTATTTAAGTAGCAACAATTGACTTCATGGGACGTTTCCTCAACCTAAGGAAAAAGAGAAATCTTTTAAGTGGTTACATAAATTGGAAAATAAATCTAGTCAGGGTTGATTTATTATAGAATACCAACTGCCATGATGGAAACCAGGAGCGGCCTACCTCTGTTGGGTTTAACCAAGCCCTGGTACTGTGTGGGTCCTCCGCAGTTTTCAGGGCGCACACAAGCATGCGGGTGATTGCCTCTTCTACCCGAGCCTGGTGGTCCTCTTCCTAAGTTGAGATAAAACATCATTTTTTCATTTGTCTCTCTGTCTCATGGCTTACAGCAGAGACTAGAGTCCCTAATTGTGTGTTCTGTTCTCATCAACATAAGCTTTGTTACACAAGGAATGGCAGACCACAGTGTTTTATGTGTTCACTATCATCTGACATCTAGAAGAGCTGTGGAACAGTTCACTAACCAAACTTACGTATATATCCTGTCTATAAGGCATAGGCCTTGAGTAAGAACTGCCCACTGATGTTTTTCCAATCTTTTCCATTCTCTGACATGTCTCAAGGAAAAAAAGAAAAAGTGTTACATATGGAGAAATAATCCCTATAGAGGTTGATATGCTAATTGTTTGAGGAATGGGAGAAAATTTCATGTAAACTTGCTTAGCCACATGAATGCAAATATGTAAAGACACAATAAATATAAACTATAGCATTAATGAGAAATTGTATTAAGATTAACAACTTCCGTTCCTCAAACTCATAAAAGAAAAAAACCAGATGCCTGTAACATTTAGTATAATCGATATGAGATTAAAATCTGGAATACATAAAGAATCTGCACAGTTCAAAAAGAAAATGACCCAATTTTTTTAAATGGTCAAAAGACATGAAGATAAGCATTTCAATTAAAAAACAATTATATGACTAATAAACATAAAAATATGCTTAACCTCATTAAAAATAGGGGAAATATAAATTATGAAACTAATAAAAGAGGGTTTGATTATTTCAAGTGGTGGAAAAATGTGCACAGACAGAAATCTTACACACTGGTGATGGATGTGCAAACTGATAGAACCATTTGGAAAACATCTTGGCATTATCAGTAAACTTGAGTATTATGTACCCTACAGACCACCAATTCCACTTTGAGAATCACACATATTCTCTAGAGAAACTTGTACTTTTGTACAAGAATATTCTATTTATAGAAGTAAAAAATTGTAAATAACCCAATTATCCATCAATAGAACAATGAGCCAATACAGTGTGGTATATTAACACAAGAAAACGTACCACAGTGAAACGAATGAACAGCTCCATGTGACAACACAGATGAATCTTAGAAACATAATACTAAATTTTAAAAAGCAAATCCCCACAATGAGACACCACTTTACACTAGGACAGATATAATAAAAATGATTGGTAAAATTGTGGAGGATCCAGAATCTTCTTACACTGCTGGTGGGACTGTAAAGGGTGCCACTGCTTTGGAAAACAGCCTGACAGTTCCTCAGAAGGTTAAACATAGAGTTGCTATATGTGATGGTTATTTTTATAAGTGAACTTGATTCGGCTATGGTGCCAGTTGTTTGGTCAAGCACTGGCAGAGATGTTGCTGTGAAGATATTTTCTAGATATGATTGAATTTAAATAATTAAGATTGTCCTCAAGAATGTGGGTGGACCTCATCCAATCAGTTGAAGGCCTTAACAGCAAAAACTGAAGTCATAATCACAAATGAAAAGAATTCTGTCATGATGGCTACTGAAAATAGTACTCTGTACCCAGTTAGTAGGATATAGTCTAATGATTAAAAGGATGCAAAAAAAATATCAAATTTTACTGACAAGTTTTATAGTTTCTGAAAAGAAAGTCACATATGAGTACTAGAATTTGGAATTGTAAATTCGACATCTGAAAAAACATTGGTGGATAAAAACAAAGAAGTAAATATGTTACTGTTATTATGGACCCAGAAATTCAGTGTAAGAGAAGATTAAAGAAAGAAATAAGAAAAATCCCTATAATGTTAACTTTGATTTAGAAGTATAGGTATATTTCTATCTATCAATCTATCAATCACCTACCTATCTATATCACATTCTAGATTCACCACTTAGAGAGTCTGGAAACAGTGACACCAGTAGCAATGAGCAGCCGTAGAGCCCAAATCTGAATTTTTAAATACCATTCCCACTAAAAGGAACCTAGGCCCCTTGGAGAAATTATTGACTTCCAAGTTTGGGGCAGCCCAAGTACAAGGCAATCCTGGGGTATCTACTATGTACCAGAAAGCAAGGATAATCTCAAAGATTAATGGTGACATACCAAAAGGGCACAAGCCAGCCTGAAGGAGTTTCACTAAAAGCATCAATGAGACTCAAATTCAAAATTATCTTGGGAAGCGGCAATGCTCAACCAAATAGATATGATGAAAACTAAGAGAGATGGCTAAAGAATGGGACTCAAATTTAAAGAACCAGCTTTACAGATTCAGGATGAAGGACAATCTGATGTGGCAGCTGATCATGTGAGAAACACATGGATACTGTAGAGCTAGATATGAGTCGCAAGTGAGATAAGATTACTAAAAAAGTTAATGCAGTATTATAAGCAGTACTGAAGAAATTTAGTATCAAAAGTCACATGAGGCCGAAACCGGTTTGGCTCAGTGGATAGAGCATCGGCCTGCGGACTGAAAGGTCCCAGGTTCGATTCCGGTCAAGGGCATGTACATTGGTTGCGGGCGCATCCCCAGTGAGAGATGTGCAGGAGGCAGCTGATCGATGTTTCTCTCTCATCGATGTTTCTAACTCTCTATCTCTCTCCGTTCCTCTCTGTAAAAAAATCAATAAAATATATTTTTAAAAAAAGTCACATGAGGTAGAAATCTTATGCTCCACCAAATGAGGCCCACTGGTTTTCAGTTTTAGGTGCCGAACATTAAGAGGGCTATGCTTGGCATAACAGCTCTTCTCCTCCTCATGGCAATTTCTATTTTTGAACACTTCCCCTGTGCCAGGCACTGAATTAGATGCTTATACATGTTTTGCCCAATTTAAACCTCACAGTCACCCTATTGAAGTGTAATTATAATCCCTGTTCTACCAGTGAGGAAACTTAGGCTTCATGGAATTGAGTAATCATCTAGGTTAGACAGCTAACAAAGGTATAGACTTCTGTCTTAAGTCTACCTAACTCCAAGTCTACAGCCAAAATAGTGGAAATTCTGAAAAGAAAATCACATAAAAACATCGTGCAATAAAAAGAGGTTTTGAGCCTGGAAGAGTTTAAGGAGACACATCAAAGGTATTGTAAAATACTTAGAAACGAAAAAATTGTGTATAGTTTCAGAAATAACGGGTATGGCTGTAAGCAGGCAGATGACAAGCCCACTATTCAAGAACAGGATGAGCTACCTCGGGAGAAGTGGCATCTGTTGGGGCTACTGCACATGTGACTGGTACAGGGAGTAGAAGTGGAGTTCATGGACTTTGCCTTGGCATGTGCTCCAACTCCAATTCAGCCTATCACAAGCAGAACTTCGGTGAGTCTACTGATCTGCCCCACCTCTCACCTAACTCCCAAGGGTGACAGATCTGCTCTAAGATCACACTATACAGCTTCCTATTACTGTGTGTTCCACCAGAGCCCTTTCCATCACCAAAGGGTAAGAAAAGCCCGACTGAGGGGAGAATGCAGCCGCCAAGGAGAGGAGATGCAACCAAGGCCGGAGAGGACAGCAGAGATGGACTGAAGGCCTAGGTTAAAGAGGGCACAGGTGCAGTCAACACCTCTGTAAATGAGCGTATAGATGCAGTCAAGGCCTTGGGTTGAAGAGATAGACTTGAGCCAAATGGGCAGCCATTTTAACTGTGGAGTAGAGCAGGCAACCAGGACTAAGATAGCATATTGGAGGGAAAAGGCTTCAGGCAGAAATGAAATTATAAAAACCTAGCACCGAACGACTCTGCTTTGAGAAAATGTATAAGCCAGGACTGGGAATTGTCCAACTATTTATGAGAGACCTGAATCAAGAAGCAGTATTTCTGGTCCAGATGGTGTGAGATGGGACTGGCAACATGAGACATGCATGGCAGATCCAGGCAGGCCTGCACGATCTAACACTGGTCAAGGGAAAAGACCCTGCAAACCAACCTCAAAGCCCAGTGTGTACCTTTAAAAGAAAGAATGGCACATCACTAAATATCCTGTTTCCATCTTAAACATCCATCCACAGAGCACAGAACACAATTTATGATACAGCAACACAAAGTAATACTGGAATGTTGATTAAAATTAATCACCATGTTTTAGAAATAGGCTTTGTGTATCTTAAAAGCAGGGAATACAATTATTAAGAAAAAAAGTACCAATTCAATCCACGAGTTTATAGTGACAGTGACAGGATCAACGGATTCTACATAATGCCACCAGTGTCTGGGAACAAACAGAACCTGAAAACCAAGAAAAGAATTGTTAGTACAAGTTCAGGACATTTTATTTTTTATATCAGAATCAAAATAAAAGCCCAACTGAAGATACTAGAAAAAGTAATACAAAGGAATTTACAGTAATATTGCTGTAATAAAGGAAAACAAGAAAAACCCCACAATCCTTTTATTTCCTTTTTCATTGACAAATTCATCTGTTCTCCAAAGGACACTGCCAGCTCCTCCAGTTTCTACTCTCCTTAATCCAAGACCTTATCTATTTACATCTAGGTCTTAGTAAAGAATTTTGAGATTCTAATTTCCTCCTTTCCATTGCAAAATAATTGCATGCATTCTGAGAAAGGGCCTAGGTAAAACAATAGGCCATAGTTTCTGTCTCCTCAGAGTCTAAAACCTAGCCAGTGGAAAAGTAGTACATAGAAAGGTGGTATAAGTGGTGAACTAGATGAGTGGACACTGGTGCAAGGGAGCTTTGAAGGTGAGAGAAGCAGGCACAAACTAAAGTCAGGGGCATCCTGGATGGAGGAAGTGTGATTTGAACCAGGGTTGGTAGAGAGTTTAGACAGAGAAAAGGATGAGGACGTATCAGGAGGGAGAAGTGGCACAGACAAGGGAGGGGGGGCTGTTGAGAAACAGCAA